AGAAGAAGAAGAAAAAAAAGAAGAAAAGATTGGCAACAGATGTTAGCTCAGGCGCCAATCAATAAAAACAGAAAGCACTTATTAAAACAAGAGATTTAAACCCAACTATGGCAGTTATTTTGTGAAATGCCAATAGACCAAATGTTCCAATTATAAGAAATATTGTCACACTAGATTTTTAAAACTCCAACTATATATTGTTAACAGAATCATCCAAAACATAAGTACATAGAAAGACTGAAAATAAAGGGTAAAAAGACATACACTGCACATACTAACCAAAGAAAAGATAATGCAACTACGTTACTATTAAGCTAAGTAAACTTTATCTCTAGTAACACCTTTTCCTTAAGGAGGGACAAAATGACTTTAGAAGACTTAAGTGATGAGGAAGACACACAGTTCTAAACACGTATGCACCCAATAACATACCCTCAAAACATATAAAGAAAAATTATCAGAACTAAGGAGAAACAGACAAATGCAAAATCAGAGTATTAATACATTTCTCCTGGTAACCAATATAACCAGCAGACCAAAAGGAAAAAGTAAGGACATAGAAGAATTTAACATGATTAACCAAGTTGAACTAACTGACAAATATAGAACACTACATCCAAAAACTGCAGAAGCACATGCTTTCCAAGCACACACACAGGACATTTACAAAAATTCATCATGGGGCTGGCCCAGTAGCGCAGCACTTAAGTTTGCACATTCCACTCCGGCGGCCTGGGGTTCGCCAGTTCCAATCCCAGGGGCAGATCTTCGCACTGCTTATCAAGCCATGCTGTGGCAGGCGTCCCACACATAAAGTAGAGGAAGATGGGCACGGATGTGAGCTCAGGGCCAGTCTTCCTCAGCAAAAAGAGGAGAACTGGCAGCAGATGTTAGCTCAGGGCTAACCTTCCTCAAAAAAAAAAACTGATCATATGCTGGGCCATAAAGCAAGCTTCAAAAATTATCATAAGCTTTTAATTATATAGTGTTCTCACCAAAATAAAAACAGAAATCAGTAAAAAACAAAAAGGCAGAGCACAGAGTATTCTTACAGCAGTTAAATTATTCTGTATGGTACCATAATGGTGGATACCTGTTATATATTTGTAAAACCCCATAGAATATACAACCCCAAGAACGAACATGATGGAGACACCACCTGCCTGTTAGTCATTTAGCAGCAACCTGGGTTATCAAATCAACTGTCTTGGTGTTCATGGAGCTCGTGTTCACCGAACCCTTATTCTCCTTAATAACGGCCCCAAAGCACAAGAGTAGTGATGCTAGCAATTCGTATACGCCAAAGAGAAGCTGTAAAGTGCTTCCTTTAAGTGACAAGATGGAAGTTCTCACCTCAATAAAGAAAGAAAAGATATTGTATGCTGAGAGTGCTAAAATCTGCTCTTTTATTACCGTATGTTGTTGTGATTGTTTTATTTTATTACTACTACTGTTAATTTCTGACTGTGCCTAATCTATAAATTAAATGTTACCACAGGTATGTACGTACAGGAAAAAAGCATAGTATATATATAGGGTTTGGTACTGTGCTTGGTTTCAGGCATTCACTGGTCCTCTTGGAACGTGTCCCCTGTGGATAAGGGGGACACTACTGTATTTATTTTAGGTGAACTTTACTTTATGGGCTAATATTTAAAAAAGTGTGGTGATGAGTAATTATGAACGTAAAGTACACAAGATTGCTTTTACCTTTTACTGACTCAATTTAAAGGAAAAACTTCATAGGATTAAATGATAATACCAGAGTAAACCAAAAAATGACCAGTAGTTGTAACCCAGAGATTAATTCTGAACAAAAAGACCCTTCAACAGACCTGCCACCCCAGGATCCATCTCGCCCACTGAGTCAGTGCCTTCCCCACCGCAGCCCCCACTGGGACTGACCTAGAGAGGAGCGAGCAGAGCTCCCAAGATACCGGGCTCCCTCGCTACTGTCTTCCGGCTGTGGGATGGGCAGAGCTTGGAATCATCCTGGGCCGGCAAGCAGGCCCTTCGTGACAAATCCCCTCCAACACTCCCACCTCCCTCAGCTTCGGGATCCTGTCCTCTGTGGGACACCAAGGCAGTTCAGGCATCTCAGCTCCACTCAGCACAGGCCAGCTCTCGGGTTGGTTCAGGCAATCAACCAGAGCCCTTTCTGACCCCTCAAGCTGCAACACTGAACTCAGAATCTCTGCTTACGGGCCCACATCGATAAATTCGGTCTAACCAACTTCAGGTTCCTTCCACCATTATCCCACACCCTTCAGATCCCTTCTCGCAGACATTCCCCAGGCTGCTATCTATACAGTGGCAAACCAGACAATCTTTTGGAGGGAGGCACATCTCCTCAAGGGTCACACTTCACACCTCGCCCTCTGGGGTCTGATGGGACTACCCTAGGGAAGGCCAATTACAGGTTTCTCAGGCAAAGGGAGATTAAGTTCCTCAGGCAGGGGATGGAAAGGCTGCTTCTACTGGCAAAGATAGCCCAACAGAATCTAGGGGTTCAAGGTCACCAGCTTAATCAGAACCTGACATATGCCCCAACCCAATTTTCAGGATCCCATTCCTTACCAATCGATGCTCTCACTTACACTGGGAATCCACTTTGCACTTGAGAGCAATCATAGAAACTTTCAGGTCCTTTATATGGAACCCGAGCTGGGAGTTCAAAAACTCCAAGCTCATCATTTGGCTCTGTAATATTTTAACTTGGCTAAGCTGAACCACACTCTCCAGAATTTCCGTTCCCGTTTGTTTCTGGTTTGGGCGGGCCACCAAAGAGATTCCTGGGCAGCAGGCGGGAGGTGCAACTGAAGGGGTGCACCTGAAGGGGCACACCTGGGGGCACCTCTGTAGCCTGCCCCCGCTGGCCTTGCGTTCACCTCGCTGACGGATGCAAGGCCATCATGGGTGGCCTGCAGCGGCTGCCACTCCTCCACCTTCCCCAGGCTCCCGGAGTTCTCTGCCCCCTGGGCCCAGTGTGTGTGGTCAGCTCCACGACAAGGGCCCAGCTCCTGCAGGACGCCTATACAGCCAAGGTCAGAGAAGCAGACCTGAAATGGCTTTCAACCCGTCTGGCTGTGGCTCCCAGCTTGCTCATGTTCCTCCCCACTGTAATCCATCTTCCTTTCCCAAATGTCCACCCCAGGGACTCCAGCGTCGGGCATGCAGACAATGGCCTCACCTACAAGACGCTTTGTCAGCTCCTCCACCGTGTTAACTCCGATCCCTCAGTCACCAGTCTGACAGCCCCCTGTGCAGCACACGGGACATAAGTGGCCAGCCTTGATCTTCCCCTGGACAGTTCTAGCAACTGCCCAAGGGGGCTCTGAGCACTCACAATCCAGGCACTGCGCGAAGTACTAGAAAAGTAATTACGGACAAAAACAGTCTCTGCTTTCATGAAGGTCAGCATTTTTGGGAAAACAAAAATGCATTGAATGACGTAAATGAATCTAACACTGTAATTTTGATAAGCACCAGGCAAGACAGCAACGTCTCTACAGGGAGGACTTGACTTCAGGGAGCTCAAGAAAAGAACTCAAAAACTTGAGAAAACCAGCTGTTGTAGCGGGTGATGGATATGTGGGGGTTCCCTGGGCTATTCCACCGTCATTATGAAAATCTGCAAGCTCACACAAAAAGAACGTCATGAAAAAGCGACGACCGAGCCAAGCCCTAAGGAAGACTAAAGACACTTGAAACAAGCAGAGACAGGCATTCCAGGCCGAGGAAAAGGAGGAGTGCCAGCTCCCCGGAGCAGGAGACGGTGCGCACAGGACATGGGAGAAGGCCCACCTCGCCAGAGCAGGGAAATTGGGAGATGTGGGGCAAGGTGAGGCTGAGGCCCCAAAGGATGAACACTGTGTGCGCCCTGAAGGCCACGCCGTGAAATTTTGTTTTTAAAGTAAAGGGAAGTCATCGCGTTCTAAGTAAAAGGTGACATAATCAATCTGCCTTTTTAAAATGTAATTTTTTGACACTAACAAAATTACAAACATATTTACCTTTTACCCAACAATCTCAATATCTTAAAGCTATACCTGCACAAATACAAAACAATATATCCACAAGATTACTCACTGAAGCAATACTTATAACACTAACAGAACATAAACAATGCAAGTGCTCACATTAGGAGGCGAACTGCAAGCATAAAAGGGGAAAAGAGCTTCTCTAAGGCCATCTCCAGAATACACTAAGGGAAAAGGAAAAGCCAGAACAGTGGATGTAGATTTCTGTCTTTTGTTTAAGAAAAGAAGGAAAACAAAAATTACGTATGTGCTGATATTTTGCAAAAACAAAACACTGGAAAAATAAAGCAGAAATGAATAAAAATGAGGTAGGAAGGAACAGTGTGGGGACTTGATAGAAGCCAGACTGTGAAGATACCTCTGTGATCCAGCTTCGACTTCTGCCCTACATAAGGATTTTACATACTGAAAAACACGCATTAAATAAAAAATTCAAGCAACCCTTAAAAGTTGAGGATTTTATGCAAATAAATGAAACCAATAATCAAGGTGGTAACATGATCAGGGAGAAAATGTTTTCAAATAAATTTATAATTCAGAATGTCAACTGTACATCCTTATGTAGATACACTTTAAGAACAAAAACAACTATAATAAAATATAAAACTACAATCACTTTACTGTTATTAGTATTTTCAAACTACTACATTTAGGATAAATTAACTGTAGGATAAATTAATGTTGCTAAGAATGCAAATTTTCGGGGGCCGGCCCCATGGCCGAGTGGTTAAGTTTGCACGCTCCACTGCGGCGGCCCAGGGTTTCGCCAGTTTGGATCCTGGGCGCGGACATGGCATTGCTCATCAAACCACGCTGAGGCAGCGTCCCACATGCCACAATGAGAAGGACCCACAACTAAGATATACACTATGTACTGGGGGGATTTGGGGAGATAAAGCAGAAAAAAGAAAAAATGCAAATTTTCAATGTTAGAGAAAAAAGGATAAACTCAAAGTAAAAACCATGTAACACTGAGCCAGCCCTGATGGCCTAGGGGTTAAGGTTCAGTGGCCCTGGTTCAGTTCCTGGGCACGGAACCACAACACTCACCTGTCCACAGCCATGCAGTGGCGGCGGCTCATGGAGCAGAACTGGAAGTACTTACAACTAGAACATAAACTATGTACTGTGTCTTTAGGGAGAGGGGAAGAAAGTAAAAACCACGTTATGTTAAATCTGATTTGAAAAAATCAATATAAAAATCAAAATTTATATATTTCCCAAGTCTGTCCAATGAAAGCAGGGGCATCTCAGAAGTAATAAAGCCACACAGCACCAGATTTTGGTATCTAAATTCCACTCCCCAGTAAAAGGAGCTAAAAAGACTGGCTGACGGGTATTGGGCAGGAAAAGCATAGGGAGTGTCAGACATCTGGTGCAGAAGGCAAGAAACGGTTCAAAGCTTAATGGGGTCCCACCCAAGTGAAGAGAACTAGCTTGAGAGGACCACGCCATGAACAAGATAGCACAAGCAGAGGAAAACACACTGAATACACAAAAATCCATGGGTCCAGTGATCCTCAAAGAGAGAAAGCAAAAGGAAAGAAACTCACAACCACCACCACCCAACAATGCACAAAGGAAAAAGAACATTCTTATCACTTCTGTCAGGACCTGAAACTCAAACTATAATATTAATTCAAATACAGAATTACTTGATATACAGATCATGTAAATATACACATCTATAACATATAAATACCCATGTAAATATATACGTTTACATACACCATTTACAGATATATAAATCATTTGTAGACAGGTTCAAAAATTAAATCTAGGTTATAAAGATTTAACTATAAGTAAACCGAACAATTTACTATAAACAAATACAGTCTAAGTTAAAAAAAAAAGTTGTTCTGCCTTTTTTTTTTTTTTGGAGGAAGATTAGCCCTGAGCTAACATCTGCTGCCAATCCTCCTCTTTTTGCTGAGGAAGACTAGCCCTGAGCTAACATCCATGCCCATCTTCCTCTATTTTATATGTGGGATGCCTCCCACAGCATGGCTTGCCAAGCAGTGCCATGTCCCCACCCAGGATCCGAACCAGCGAACCCCAGGCCGCCAAAGCAGAGCGTGCAAACTTAACCAGGGCACCACCTGGCCAGCCCCTGCCTTTCTTTCTTAAGATGTTACTACACTCTAAAGACATCTAGAGTGCTATAAAAGATGCTTTTTACTACTACTCTTTTCATTGACTCTCAACATTTAGATAAAATAATATCCATAGTGAATGGATCCTTCCTCCGTCCCCTCCTCAAAAAAAAAGGTAATGCATTTCACATTCTAGTGACTCCCAGACCAATTCCCTTGACCTCAAATGATGTCATCTGCCTTCCCCAACAGGCTAGACCCTGGAGACTAGAGATTCTACACTGGCAGAATCCTCCAATCTACCTTTCATGCCGTTCAAAGCCTTTCAATGGCTTGTACCCATCTATAGGATAAACACCAACTGCCCTGATGTGATATGTAGAACTACTTAAAATCTGGCCCCAAATTCATCTCTAGACAACTGGCCGTGCCAAACTGCAGGGAGCATCAGCTGTGGTAGTATCACCCAGACCAACACCCACAGCGCACTTAGCACACCCAGGAGCCCAAGGAAGCACTTCACCACACAGAGGCCTGCACTTGATGAGGCAGCTGTTGTCATCCCGTGTTACAGACAAACACCCTCACAGGAGTAAACGATAACATGAGGTGATCTTCTGGTTAGGATCCAAAGCCAGGACAGTCTCACCCACTCTCTTCACACCTCTGCTCCTGCTGCCCCTCCATCCAGACGCCCTTCCTCTCCGGCTCTGTATTCTTGACCCTGCTGGAGCATCACCTGCTCTTCCCAGATCCCCTCGGCACAGAACTGCCTCATCACGTGCATGTATATTTTCCCTACCTGACTGTAAAGTCTCTAAGGACACACCTTTACGTATTATGCCCATACATGACTTGTTCCAGAAAGAACTTATGGCAATTTTAAGGCCATAAAATAAGCACCCAATAAAGACTTAATTAAAAATTAAACTGAATACTGGGGTACAAGTAAGCAAACTGTTTACTTCAATGTGAAAAAAATACCCTAATAACTATAGAAAAGTTCAAAAGCAAGGGGAAGGAAATCAATAACGACTGGCACGAGCTGCTATATTTCAGGAACTCCACAAATCCATTTCATTTCAATCTCGTCATAGCCTTATGTGGTAGGTTTCATCCCAGTTCATGGCTGAGGAATCGAAAGTTTAAAAAGGCCACATGACTGCACCAGCTCTGGGGCTCTGGACCAGTCGGGGTGGGGCTGGAACCATGGCCATGGCCGGAGTCAAGGCCACACCACCGCCACCTTCGACTCCAAAGCCCAGGCCCTTTTCCCGATACCATAATGTCTGCCAAACTGAGCACAATACTTGGGCAAAAGAGTTCATTCCCTTCTCCCAATTTCTTTCCATTCAGGGAAAAGGGAAAGAAAACACTTAATTAAGCATCTAATAAATGAGGAAGTATTTACATGGCTATATATTACCAGCTCTTTCTCAGCAAATTAAGATCCTGCTCCCAGCTAAGCCAAAAGAAATCTCTAACGGCATTATTTTTAATGTCTAAATAATCCACGTGATTAACTCTTCAGAAATAGTACGCTTTTCACCCATTTCTACTACACCAGGCAAAAAAATGCTACAATTCAGGAGTGCAGCCTGTGAGGTTGTAACTGTGTGTGCAATGGGGTAAGTCATTAGGAAGTGAAAACACTAATCAAATTTCTTCTAGCGAAGACTTCAAATTAATAACTCTCATATCTTATCAACAGGACAAGAGCCAGATTTGAGGGCCCACCCATAAGATGCACAGGCACACACAAACCACATCAACCTCCCAGCTCACAAGGAAGGGAAAGGTACGATCACCGAAAACACATTATAAGAACACCCACGACCAACACTTTGCTGGATTTCACGGGTGTTAATAGATAACACAGGAAAAAACAAAAAGGGATCTAGGGCCAAATATGGCAAACACTCCTGCAATTTCTCAGCGCCCTTAATGTGATACAGCGAATCGTGACCCTAAGGGAGAAGGAAAGAACACAGCAGTTTCCCAAACTTAGGCGACCAGGGAACCCTTTGTGTTCCTTGTAGCATGTCTCAGAACTAGTGTCACAAAGAATGCCACTTTAGGCAGCACTGCTACAGATAGTCCAAAACGACATAAACAGTGTTGCTGTGTTCTGATTTGATAATTAAAGGTAGTGTCAGAAGCAATACTAGGGAAATTTGGGGGATCACTGAAAGTCTTTAAAAAAAACAAAATTCTAAGTTAAACATTAAGAGACGACTGAAGGCCTTTTTGCCCTACCCATTTCAAAGGAACCATTTCACTACCAGAAGATTAAAAACAAAGAAATGCCATTTTATTCCCCTCAAGAAACTAATCCCTACGACCCACAATTTTGACATAAACACGTCGTGCAACCTTCAACGATAATTACCAAGTCTGACAATGAACGTTCTACAAATCACTAGCTACTACAATTCTCTGGCGTCTTCTCCCTAACGAAGGCTGGGGGAGTGGAGCTGGGAAGACTGGGGGTCAGCGCCCCGACCCCCGTCTGAAATCTCAGCCTCGAGAGGGGCGTCCTCAACCCCCAAGTGCGCTCACGAACTCGGTCTCTCCCGGCGCCCACCCCCAACGACAGGCTTCGTTTTCCCTTCCTAGGAAAGCTCTGCAGAACGCAGTCACTGCACTCTCCATCAATCCTCTCAGACTGCAGCTTCCTTCCAGAAAATTCCAGCGGAAGGAAGTTCCCAGGTATTCACATCTCGCCAGGTCGGCCGAGCCCGGCGGGAGCCCCGGTCAGGGCGCAACCCCTCCGACACCGAGCCGCCCCGCGTGCCGCCCTCGGACGGACGCGCGCCCGGAGCCCGACCGCCGCCCCCGCCGCGCGGGCCAGCCCTCTCCGGCCGTCCCCGACGCGCACCCGGGAGGCAGAGGCGGCGCGGGGCCGGACCGCACCCGGGGCCGGCCTGCGCACTTCCGCGCCCAAGGTCACCGCGGCGGAGGGAGGGTGCGCGAGTGTGAGCGCGCGTGTGTGCGCCGGAGTGAGTGTGCACGCGCCGCGCGGGGACACCGGCCGGCCTCCCCTCCGCCGCGGGCCCCGCCGGACCTCGCCGCCCCGACCCCGGGGACCCCCGCGCCGCCCCGCCCCGCCCGCCGGCCCCGCCCCTGCCCGCCGGGGGTCCCGGCCCCCGCCCGGCCGCGTTACGCAACACTCCCCGCCCCCGCCGCGGCCCCCCCGCCGGCGCCGCGGCCTCGGGAACAAAGCGGCGGGCCGGGCGGGCCGGGCGGGCCGGGGGCGGCCGCCATGTTGGCGGGGGCGGCGAACAAAGGCGCGCGGCCCAGGCCCCCGCCCGCGGCCCGGCCGGCAGGGGCGCTGTGCGGGCGCCGCCGCCCGGACAATGCGCCGCGGCCCGCCGCTCCCCGGCGCCGCCGCCCGCCCGCCCCGCCCGCGCCCCCTCGCGGCGCCCGCTGCCCCGCGGCGCGCGGGCCTCACCTGCCGGCCGCCGAGGCCGCCGTCCGCAGCCCGCGGGCCCGCCGTCCCGCGCCGCGCTCCCGCCCAGGCCCGACCGAGCCAGACGGCGCCGCCCCGCCCCGCCCCGCTCCGCGGCCGCCGCCGCCCGCCCCCGGCCGCACGGCGCACGCGCACTGCGCCCGCCGACTGCGCCGGCCGCGCCGCCCGGCCCCGGCCCGACGGGCTGCACTGCGCAGGCGCCGCGGGCGGCGGGGCGGGGCCTGCAGGGCGGCGGGGCGGGGCCTGGCCGCGGGACTGGGCCCGGCGCTGCTCACCTGGCGGCGGGGCGGGGCCTGGCGCGCTCACCTGGCGGCGGGGCGGGGCCGGTCGCCGCTGGAACTTAGCGCCGGGGTTGGCGGGCGGGGCGAGGCGGGGTGGGTGTCGCCCGGGGACGGGGCGGGGCCGGGCGCCGCTCTCACCTGGCGGCGGGAGGGGTGGGGCGGGGCCCCAGGTGCGCGCGGAGGAGGGGCGGCGTCCAGGGCGCGGAGCCCCTGGAGGCGGGGGCGGCGCCGCTCGCGCCGGAAGTCAGGCAT